TTAGTGTAGGGGGTACAGGACAACTTTTAAAGCTCTGTGAATTGTGTGCTACCAGTTGCTGAAATTAGATAGTTGCAGTTTGGAAGTAAGCAGACTCCAGCTTCACTCTGCTGGAAAAGAAACAAAAGGACTGTCGTTATCTAGCTGTCTTCCGCAGGTAGTCAGGCAACTAAAGTCATCATTTATATGTTGTCAGGAGTACTCACCAAATTTATTGACTTGCACATTATTCTCTGCAAATAACTTCTAGCTGCTCTCTTCATATTATAATTAAAACAGCAAGGACTTTAATCATTTATGAAATTTTAAACTACATACTGAATATAAATGTATCATTCAATGTGATAGAATGAATTAAATTCATCATTGTCAAATAAATGTATGAAAGATGAAATATCTTTCATCCCACATCATTATCCAACAAAAAGTCTGTTTTCCAAGACTGTAGTATAGCATATGGTTTGTATCATCTTTAGTGCATTTCCAGCAGACGAAAGAATTTCAAAATACCTTTAAGAAGTACATTTTTCAAGGATTGCATTTTTAATAACACCTAGCTTAGACCTTAAAAATGTTAAATGTTAAAAATGTAAAATCTGACCACAAGGAAGCACTTGCTCTTCATTAGTACTGAGTGGTGTCACCTAATGTGCAAGTTGTGTACAGACTGTCTTTCATTACCTAGTGAAATGGTTTCTGACAGTCTCATGTCTTTTATGTACAAAAGAGATGGGCTGCTCTTTGCCTTTTGCTCTGCTGTCCCACTGAAACTATGTCCTAATGCAGAATCTATGAAGCTGTTGGAAGTAGAGGACAGATTTGGCTTGAGGGGAACTCCAGCATTAGTGATGGAAAAGAGGACCTGGCACTGCAGCTCCCACACGGTCACAGTGCTGTGACACTGAGCAAAACATCTATCTCTAAGAGTAGTCTCCTCTGCCTCCTGTTGATTTTATGTGGTCATAAGATTTGGAAGTGACTCCAGAGATCATTCCATGAGGTCATGCTTTCTTCAGAAAGAATCAATATGGGAAATAAAATATGGTAAAATATCTCGTTTGTCTCATGGAGCTGTCCCTGAAAAAACCTCATCCAGCTTCTATTTGCCCTTCCACATTTTCACAAAAACAGCTGAAGACCAAACTCAGAAAAACTCTTTCTAAAGACATGACTGATACCTATGCTTTTTGAAACTGTTATCCTGTCCTGAAACTTTTCCTTTCTCAACACCTTATATCCATATTTTTTCTTGGAATCAGTTTATTGTTCTGCATCTGATTCTCATAGACTCCTGTGAGTGCCTCCTGTCTTCTCTGTTTTCCCAGTGACTCCTGCAAATCATCTTGTCATTACAGATAAACAAGTGGGGAGTTTCATTCTTGAAAACTGAAGCAGCAGTTCTGGAATCTTGTGCTCAGAAAGTGTACAAAGTACCAACATCAGAGAGCTTCTCCCTACACCACCATCCTTTGGGGGGTGGGCAGTCCTCTTGAGTAGATGGATTGTGACAGACCAATTTTTTTCAGTCAATTACTTATAGATTAAAGCTTTTGCATGCTGGACACTTATCTTTATAGAGGAGCTCATGCTGTATAGATCATTGAACAGTCATCAGATGGCGTATTTTGGACTCCTGTTTGAAACACCAAATTGCCAAAATGATTCTGCAGAGAGGGCTGGATCCAGTCTCAGTTCATTACAGATGTAGATTGTATTAAAATCACTGACCTACAATTTATTCTGAGTTGACAAATACTTAAATTAATGAAGCAATCACTGTCTTGAAAGACTCCAACAATATATTCTGAATTCAGAGTTAATATGCCAGCAAAAAGAAATTAACAAAATGTATTTAATGTTTCTCATTTGTATTAGAGACATCACCCTCCTTTTTCACAAGTAGTATAAATTAGATGCTTTTTCACTGTATGTATTATTTGTATAGCATTTGGCCATATATCAGGATGAAATACAGTTCTCTAATTAGCTTCTTCCACGTACTTACAGTTACCCCAGGCTGCTGATCACCCATATGAAAGCAAATGTGGCCCTGGTGATTGTTTGTACATGCAATTGGACAGCCATGGTAAAAATCTTTCTAAAGCTTTCTTGTGGCTCCCAACCACAGTGTGAGCGGTAATCGTCAGAGACAATTCACAAGAATCAAGCAGTTTGCTTGTTTTGGTGAAGCACACATAATGAAAAAAGACATTTTAGGCCTAATCATATCTTTCTAATAGCTTTATGATGGGTTTCCTTTATATAGAAGTATTTTATTAGGTCAGAAATATAATTTTCATGATAATTCTCAAAATGAAAAAAGAGAGTAGAAGTAAAGTACATTGGCTAAACCCTTACAGTTCTTTTTCTCTTGCTTCCTAGTATCGTTTCAAAGACTAGAAGGTGATGTGGTATTCCTTCGTGTGCTGTTTAAAGTCAGGAGCGGCAATATTTAGCACATGCTTGGGCAGCCGTGTTTGAAATCCATGTTTCCTCTCTCTGGTGTTCTGATGTGCCTTTAGGGGATGCTTGCCTGTTTGTAGTTTGTTTTCTTTTGTTTAAGGTTTCAGCTACTGCATTGACTAATGATTATATAGCAGTAAACTCTCGTCCCTGCTAAATTCAGAGGTAATGCCTCAAAAGCATTTTTCCCCTGTGTGACATAAAACAATAAAAGAACTAGACAATCCCCTTTTGAGGAAGAATAATCCTTTGTTTAAAGAAAAAAAAAACAACAAGCATCTTCTTGATGCCAGAGGGTGTAAAATTCAAATCAAAGATTAAGCTAATTGATAAAAATAAAACAAATGTCTCACAGTATAATCCTCTTTAGGCAGACCTAACATTTTTTGCATTAACAAGTCTCCAATATTAATCACCTCTGTTGTTTGGTATTATATTACAATTGGTTTTGAACTATGTAGTATCCATTTGATACAGAGGTAACATGGGACATACCCAATCTGAATTTCATCTCACTTGTAACTCTAAAATAAATTTCTGTCCTTCAGTAATGTCACCTCAGTAGAGAACTGATGGGACCTTGTAATTCAGGGATGAAAATCAACTCATTGCTAATATAATTTACCTGTATAGTTTCCTGTATTTAATATAAAAAATTATAAATCTATAATTTTAAGAGGATTTTGGAAAAAATCCTTACATCTTCTCACTGAGGCATTAATTTCTACATTCAGCTAACCTATTGAAGAATTTAAAAAAAAATTCTAATTTTTCTAATTAGCCAGTCACTTAAAGAGAAAAAAAAAAGAGTAAGAAAGAAGTTAATGTGCTGTTTAATTACATACTGCCAGGATCTTCTGAGCCTTTCTATAATGTGTGATAAATTCAGCATTGCCAATTTAGATCTGTTGTTTGCCTAAAATATTAGCAAATAACTATGAATGAAAAGTTGGTTCAATTTGGAAGAAAACCTCACAGCAAAGAGGAGAAAGTGAAATGTGGTTAAACTACCATTTCAGCCACAGTTTGCAATTGTTGAATATGTTTGTGTTGAACATTTTTTTTTTATTAGTAGGAGTTTAAAAGCAATAATTATTCACAGCTTCCTTTTTATCTAAGTAATACCAGAGGTATCAGAGATCAGTTTTGTATTTAGCTTTCAGTAGACTTTTTTTTTCCGTTTCTATTTTTTTCCTACTGCCTGTACTTCTGGGCTTGCAGTCAATTACCAGCATAAAACTGAAGGGACAATTAGCCCCTGATGCAAGTGCTATTGCTGACATGTCTGAATAAATATAGAGTAATTATAGACTAGATATCCAGGATTGCAGTCTGTCACATCTTTCTTATTTAGCTCGGTTTGTGGAAGTGGCATCATGGCCACTCTGGTAAACACGCACCCTATCAAAAGCCAGAGAGTTTCTGTTTGTAGGCTGGAGCCTACTCTGCTCTTTTGCAATTGATTATGTCCTGAGTTGGCAATGAACACAAATACAATGACTGGGTTGAGTCTTATGATAATTTGAACCATTACGTAAACCTAATCCAAAAGATAGACCAGAAACTAGTCAAAATTGGTCACCAAAAGCAGATATTCCCAGTTTGAGCATAATGTTTAGTCTTGTTCACAGTGAAACAAAATGAACTGCTTCAGACACAGGTGCAAAATTACAGCACTGCTATGGGCAAAAGCAGTGTGTGCAGCCTAAAACCATGCCTTCCCTGACTGCTTTCAGCATATAAACCCTGCTCTCAGTGGGAGCACCTGTGTCAGGACCAATGAGGAAAATAGATGCATGTTGCAAACCCCCTCTGGTGTTTGTTACTCAGTATGAGCATCACCCAAATTGACCCAAACATGCAAGAATGACTGACCGCAAAGTTACTTAAGAAGAATTGCCTTATGCCCATTAGCCTAATGTTTTGTGGGGAGACTGAAGTCTATAAAAATGTTCATATTCATAGAAATTAGGCATCAAAGCTGCCACTATATTCTCTCTGCAACGAGTTTTTAACATTTTGGAGATTTGCTCTTTTGCAAAACCACTTACTCCACAAAGGTATAAAATATAGCACTTAGTGGCAATGGTACACTTACTCAAGTGCATTAGATAGTTCTTCCTTCTCCTTCTCTTCCTGCTTGATTGGCAGCCAGAGATCCTGGATGCAGCACTATAGGAGATATTGTTTATAGCCAAAGCAGCAGGATCTGGCACCAGAGAGGACTCCACAGGCATTTGTATTGATGGTGGCTTTGCAGTTGCCTCTGGGTCTTTCATGTGGCTGGGCTGATGAAAGCTATCTGGGCAGTTATATGCTCTTGGAAACCATTTCTTTTTCCACTGACATTTTAAATGCTTGTGGTGATTAACTGTTCGTGTGTAGAGAATTTTAAATCCTGCACCACAGTGAGTCACTGCAGAGGCCGCTGGCACATGGTGTACATCTATATTTCTCTTTTCTGCCTAAAATCCCTTTCCTGTATGGTTCAAACATTTATTTAACTTCATTTGGACATGTTTGCGGTGCAGCTCAGAGGAAGGAAATTTGAGGCTCTATGTACAGAGCGAGGTGAGGTGTTAGTCCTGGCTTTAGGTGCCTTCCCTGAAACAGCTTGGGGGACTCCATTCCGCACATCTCAAGATCCAGGAAGCTGGTTGCACATTTCGTAGCAGACAAGTAAAGTCGTGGATAGGCCCTGGGGTTTTTTTCTCAGCCTCTGCCTGTATCTTGTTCCACAGAGAGCTGAGTAAGGGGAGAAAAGGGTAGTTCCTTGGCCCACAATGGTATTCCATAGGATAGTCCATCCAAACGGCTGGCAACACGCTGCTTCGTGGTGTTATTTGAGATTCTCTGCAAATTCAGGCACATGAATTGTCTTAGACAAAAAGCACAAAGGAATCACACATTTGAAGAAAAAAACCCTAGATCCAGATCTCTGGGGGTTATTACTCTTCACAGTGGCAGGAGTTACAGCCTGTGTTGTACCTTTGATCTCAATGAATGTATTCCTCTGCTTTAGTGTTAACATAGGTGTAAGTTTGTGTAGGATTGAAGAGTATAACTGTTGAATGAAATGGTCAGCAAGTAAAGCAATGTCATATAAACCAAATGTTTTGCTCTTCATTAGACAAAAAATTTTTTCTTTGAATCTATTCTAAAAGCTTAATTCAATAACTTACATATTCCAGGACTGTTACAGAAGGAACGACCAAATCTCTATTCCACAGTTTTTTCTTCAGATAAATATTTAGCTGATGTATACTGGATTTCATAGTCATATGAGTTGAACTTCAGAGCAATATTTAGCCATATTTTCAATTTTTACCCAAGTAGTATCCAAACTATGAGAGACTTCAAGAGTCTAGAGATTTTCTTACACAAGTGTAAGTTTTGTTTTCAAAGTATTTTACAAATTTACATTTTAATGTTAACTCATGTATCACTAAAATTAATTATGTTTAATGTTATTATCTTTAATCTATGTTTATCTTTATTTATCTTTTATCTATAAAACATAAAATATGTGAGTTCCCAAATCCACAAATCAAACTTTTAAAGTGGATAACCTGAATTTTTTTTAAAAGTTAAGATCCTGTAGCAAAACTGAGGAAAATATTTAAAAAAAAAACAAATGAAAAAAGAGAGAGGAGTTTCACATACTTGTGAACAACTGTTCCTCCATTAAAATCACCATGGGGTGTTCAAGACAAAGGTTTCACTGTATGTTGCAGACTTCCATTAGCTCTGAATAAACCTGGAAAAAATCCTGGTTTGCTGTATGTGGTAGATGGATTATGGCAAGCATCTTGAATTCTTCCTGTAGACCTGCTGCTATCCTTCCATTTCACTGGAAACCAAAGCTGCTTCATCTCCATTACAAGAGATATAATAAAAGGAAAAGGAGAGTGAAACGTTGGCAGACAAACACATTGAGAAGAAAATACAGGAAAATCGTATTTAATTATATAACTATTCTCCATACAGAATCACATTTTTGTGGGTCTTTTTGAACTTCAGGATGAGCAGAATTAAATGCAATTAAATTGCATGCTGTATACTGATCTACAAAGGGAGGTTTGGAGACTTGCAAGGGACAGATTTATTTTACAAATATAGTAGTCATTTAGCTTGCTGACGTTTTGTTAAGTTCCCTCACCATTATTCTTTTTTAGAAGTGATTCCTTTCAAACTGAGCAGCTTCTCCATCTCTTAAGTATTATGATGACATTTAACAGCAACAAGCCAACTAACAAATTCTTTTTTGTTAGGTTTTATTAGGACCCTTTTGAAAATTCCACTGAATCATTAAATCTTCAATACGTTGGATCAGGTTTTTCTTGTTTCAATTTGAACAGGACTCCTGCTGACTTCAGTGGGGATTCTGTCTGAGAAAGTCTTACACTTTGGCTTAATTACTTACTAAAACTCAATCAATACCTTATAAATTAGTCTGATACCAAAATATCAACAGTATGACTCCCTTGAAAAAGTTGTAGGAGAGAAAAAGCTTGCTGAAAAAAGTCTGGATTCATCAAGCTGTTCTGTGGAAGTGTATTGGGCCCAGTGATACCTTACTTTGAAAAACAGGAGGCATTATTTAATTTTAAAAAAATCAGTGAAGTCTATTTAGGTTTTATCTGAAATACAGTCTTTATTTTTTGTTTGTTTCCACATTTTCCACATTTTTTTCATCAATATACATTTATATTTTATCATTAATTTCTATTGTATTGTATTATCTGAAGGTTTTTATTTTTTATTTTCTGTTTTAATTATTCTTAAATAATATAAACTATATAAAATTATTCTTTTGAAAACATAAGCTGTCACAACTTGTATAATTTTCCACCTCTCACTGTGGAAATTCCTGGGAAAATCAAAGCAATGAAACTTTATTTTTAAGCTGCTAATTTTAAGTTTAGTTTAGTTTAAAGTAAGTTTAAACTTTTAAATTTAAAGTTCAGACTTTCAATCAGGTATATTTTTGTCTTGGATATGATGTCAATCCACCTAGATAGTGTAATCCGTCAAGGAAGAGGAGAGACACAGAAAAAGCACTAAGACTTCTGAGCATTTCTTCAGCTGTCTGAGACATAATAAATAGCTCTTCTTACTGATACACCCTTTTGAGTTTGCCTTCATTTTTCCTTTGGTAGTAACAGAGTCTAACTCCAAAGAAACTTCCACCATCCACCCAAACTATTATTTCTCGATTTTGAGTGGAACCCTTCAACCTGAGGAAATTAGGGTGATTTTTTTTTCTGTACTACTGAATATTTTGTTGGTATAACTTCATTTAAAGGTGGTGGAGATCTGAAAATTGATGTATGTTTTTACTAGTTTCTACTGAATTAAGTGTAAGAACTTCTCCTTATTTGCAAATATGTGACAGATGTGGCTTTTCATGCTTCACGCAGATTTGAACTGTCTTTGAAGTTCTGTGTTCCATCAAGTACAGTGATACTGAAATTCAGCTATATATACATTTATCTGCAGGAAGACAGTGATGTTTCAGAGGTTTGGATCCAGAAAGGACAGAGATGTGTCTAAGTAATGCTATTAGTGAACTCATGTGCTCCTTTAACATCTGACTTTTTTGAACTTCAAATTTTAGCATCAGATGTTCAAAACCTACCTAGAATTTGTCAAACTCTACTTTTGTGTAAGTCAATGGAATTTGGTCAAAGATTGCATATAGCCTTAGTTTAAGTGCTTCCTACTGTCCTAGAAAGTACGACTGTATTACAAGCTGTGTAATATGTATTGTGTGAGTAATTCTAGGGGAAATGTGTATTGAGTATGCACAGTATGATAACTCTCTTCAATAAAAAAATCAAAGAATTACAGAATGAAATAATGGCTGAGGTTGGAAGGGACCTCTGGAGGTCATATAGTCCAAACACCCTGCTCAAGTCTGGTGTCTGGGACCATGTCCAGAACAGTCCTTGAATATGTCCGAGGATGGAGATGACTCCACAGCCTCTCTGGGCAACCTGTGCCAGTGCTCAGTTGCCCTTACAATAAAAAAGTGTTTCCTGATGTTCAGAGGGAACCTTCTGTGTTTTAGTTTCTACCCATTGCCTCTGGCTCTGTCACTGGGCACCACTGAGAAGAGTCTGGCTCCATCCTCTATGTACCCTCCCTTTAGGTATTTATACACACTGATAAGATCCCCCCCGCTGAGTTTTTTCTTCTCCAGGCTGAACAGTCGCAGCTCTCCCAGCCTGTCCTCATATGCAAGATGCTCCAGTTCCTTCATCATCCCTGTGGCTCCTCATTGGACCCTCTCCAGTGTATCCATGTCTGTCTTCTACTGAGGAACCCAAAACTGAACATAGCACTCAGGTATGGTCCCACCAGTGCCAAATAAAGGGGAAGGACCTGCTTGTATCACTTTTTCTAATGCAGTTAAGGATACCATTTACCTTTCCAGCAGGTACACGTTGCTGGCTCATATTCAACCTGGTGTCTATGAGGAACTCCAGGTCAGTTTGCCAAGCACTTTTCCAACAGCTATGTCTAGCGTGGTATAGATAGATCATTAATAACTTTTTTTGGTGTAAATACCTTGTTTCCTAATACACACTGTATCATAAAATATTGGCCTTGCAGTTTGTTCTTAGTGAGTTCCTTACAAGATTAGAGTTAAGGACATTCTTGTTTCTTTCACTTGAAGTTTTGAAGATGTTGCTCAGCTGTGGTGCAGTTCAATTCTTCTGATCTTTCATATGAAGGGGATAATATGAAAAAAAGGGAGTCACTTCAAAATCCTACAAAGAAAAAACCTTAACTGTCACACTGGTACATTATAGAAAGCTCAGGTATCATTACAGCTGATATGGTTAAACGTGCTATCATTGGTCTATAGTCAACTAGGCTCCTCTTATAGATACGTTATTTCAAAGCAGTCCACTTCCAATGTACACACAAGGCACTATCCAGATCTACTTTAGAAGGTTCATCTTTTATTAGTCATGACTAGTGAGCCATTTTATTTCAGCGTTGCAAAGAGCATTTCTGATCATGATTTCGTTTATAGTTGATGAAAAAAGGTACAAGCTCAGTGTTAGAACCAACAATAAACAGTCTCAGCATAGGCATTTTCCTTTTCACTGGTGTAAGACTGCTGTTTAGAACAAGGCTGCTGAACTGGGTGGATCTTTTTACATTTGTGAATATTCTGGTCATGAGTACTGACTACATGATCATAAACAGGGTGGAAAACAATGTGAATTGTATACCAATTTAAAATTTTTATGATGTATTGAATTGAAAACAGGGTGAGCTGGCTGGGTCTAACCTTGTTTGGCTCATCTCTAAGCTGAGGTTCATATGCTTACCTAATGAAACCTACAGATGACCTAAAAGTGACTTTAAAGACATTATTTCAGATTCATCCCTTGTTTAGAGGGCTGAAACCTAATTCAGAAAAGTGCACTAGTTGAAGCCAATTAAGCTATATATTTTGAGGTGTTCCTGTCTAGATAACATCAAACGTATAAATGTACATCTTTAAATAAACTTGTGAATATTGTTCTCAGATACTCTTGAATCAGGATTATTCTTCTACCATTTTTTCTCTCCTTTCTGGCACTCTCTCTCACATGCATTTCTTGGATTTGCTGCAGTCAAATCAGAGTGAGCTGGGAAAAAGAAACTCAGTTTGTTCCTGTTGAACCAAATCTCAGTGTTTGGGAGAGTGAAGTGGGATGTCAATGTGAGACAAGGAGAAGACCAGGACTCTATTTCTGATTCAAAACTTGATGCTTCAGTGTCTAAACAGTCAGAGTCACAGAAGTTGAACTCATTTTGCCTAGCTTTAGCCATCTAAAATTGGTAGATCTAGGACGGATCTCATCATTCTGGGCTTTATGGATTACCAATAAGGAGAAACAACACCTTCAGAGAACAATTAACATCATTCTACATGGTAAACCTGAGCTGTCTGGATGTGCTTTTGGAAGTCAATTAATTTTTCTGTGATGATTCTAATCATCACTGGCTCAGACTTAAATATTCAAATTCTAGACATCTAAACTGGGGGCAAATGAATCCTGGGGGCAGATGAATCCTGCTTGAAAAGTTCATCAGAAGTAGTTTTATTGTACATGACATGCTCACAACAACTATATATATATATATCTTAGGTAAATTTGAAGGTCAACTCGGTTTCTAAATGTATCTAACTTAGACAAATTCAGAGTGGTATATCATTCAATTTTGAGTCCCTGACTACAAGAAAGACATTGAGGTGCTGGAGCAGGTCCAGAGAAGGGCAGTGGAGCTGGTGAAGGGTCTGGAACATAAGTCTTATGAGGAGTGGCTGAGGGAGCTGGGATTGTTTAGCCTGGAAAAAAGAAATTTCAGGGGAGACCTCATTGTTCTCTGCAACTACCTGAAGGAATGTTATAGCAAAATGGGGATTGGTCTCTTCTCCCAAATAACAAACAACACGATGAAAGGAAATGGACTCGGTGTGTGCTAGGGAAGGTTTAGATTGGATATTAGGAAAAAACTCTTCATGGAAAGGGTTGTCAAGCATTGGAATAGTCTGCCCATGGAAGTGGATGAGTCACCATCCCTAGACATGTTTAAAAGGCGTATAGATGTGGCACTTAGGGACATGGATTAGTGGTGGTGGACTTGGCAGTATTAGGTTTATGGTCAGACTGGATGATATTTAAGGTCTTTTCCAGCATAAAGGATGCTATGAATTTTATGATCTTTGCTTCTCTAGTATCCGCACCTGCTGTATTTTAGACTATATCAGCTTTTGGAACAAGGCACCTAAAGTCTAGGTTCATACTAGTAGACTTGTTGGGTCAGGGACTCTTCTCTGATTCTTTAAGTAAATGGCACAGCGTAGTTAGTTACCCTTATAGGTAGTGGATGGATCTACAACAGATAGAGAGCAGTCTTCAACTGGTGCTGTTCCCTGAATTGTGTTCAGGCATTGCATTGGGGGAACCATGCAATAGCTGTGCCATGAAGCACAGCAACGTTTGTACAGCACTAGTGCTTGAGCCAGTGATCCAGACATCTACAGTTTTCTGGCATATAGGCTCTGTTGTTTCCCAGATAGGTCCTATTGTAAATAGACTCTGTTGTTTTCCCAGTAACTTGGAATTTCTTGAAATTTTGAAGGTCTAAGCATTGTATAAAAGAGAAGGGCAGAAGGGTTCCTTAATCTTCTTTCACAAGACTGAGGTTGGACACTTCTTTTGTATTCTCAAGTTGCAGATGAAAGAGCTGTAAGTCCCCAGATTCTCAGCGAAGCTGTAGCTGTTTTAGCTATGCTCATTTGTGATGCTCTAATGGGGTTTGATTTCTCAGTTGAGAAAAGGAATGATTGATTGCATTCCTCTGTGTTCCTTCTTTAAGCATAAACTCATGAAACTCTCTCCTGGTTCTTCAAACCATTAGTATTTTACAGTCATTGGCCCTTTCAGAGAGGAAGCGAACACCCTGGTTGCTGGTGACCTGGCAGTTCTTTGAGTATCATGGTTCTTCAACTTTGTGCAAAATAGCCCAGCTGTAGCAGTGTTCACTCAATGTGATCACCTCCCTCTCCCACCTTTCCTTCTTTTGCAAGCTCTCTCTGTTCATACAAATACTGATTTTCAATACCCAGAGCTCTTGTTTGACTCTGCTTATTTCCAGTTTCAAATTTATTTGTCTCCTTCTCTCTGTCTCTCACCCTCTGAAGGATTTATTCCCCCTGCCCTGAATATTTCTCTAAGTCTTGCTTCTGATTTTGTTCTTCTGTGCAGTATAATTTTTTCTTTGGCTAATTTTATTCTAGGGTCGCAAAGTAGAATGTTCTTTACTGCTGTCTCTATTCTCATCCTACCTTTACAGGGCTTTTGCTGCTGTTGAATAATTAATATTTGCTAAAGTCCACATTGGTAATGTTGAAAAAAGGTTAAAATATGTTAATAAACCTGGGAAAAGTACAGAGGAAAGCATATTGAAATGAGCTATGCTAAAATGCTATTCATATATAATGGAGTACTCTCCTAAAGAAAGTAGATATAAATGGAGATAGATACATAAAACTGACTGTCAGTTTTATGCCTAAATATTCTGTGATTGAACCTCCTCATTTATTCCTGTTTAAAAATATGCTATAAGTTTTCTTAGAAGGTGTACAAAAGATTACAGATTGTTTTTGAATGCTGTTTTTATTAGATTTAATGATTTATAGCTAGGTGAATAGGATTATATTCTTCTGTAGGAATAAATTNTGCAGAGGGTGATACCATCTACCAGTAATTTGGTAATTAAGAGTTTTACGCTGTTAACCCAGCACTTTCTGTCCTTGATAAAATCATTTTTTAAACTATTTTTTTCCATTTCCAGTTCAGGAACAGTTTGCTAAAATACTGACAGAGTCTGTGGTCTGTATGACTGATTAAATGAACTTCCTAAATATAATTTAAGACATTAATGATAAATGAGTACTATTTCTATCTGCTCTTTCAGAAGTTTAAGTTGTTTTAAACAATTAAAGTGCCTAAAAAGTCTACCTGGATCCTCCTAGGATCAAGATATTTAGAGAAAAGGCTCTAAATCATCAAGTGAATTTTCCTTTTCTTACATTGCACATATCCTAATGACCTTTCCTGAGTTTTGCTTACTGATTTCCCTAAAAGACGGACTCTTTCTCAGATCATTTCAATATGAATAGACAGACATAAAAAAAATCTGCGCTTTATCAAAAGAAATATCCCTTGGAATTTTTCAAGGGCTATGGTCTTTATGCTGTATTTAATCACAGTTTTTCACCTGAATTAAAAAGCATTATGACTTGGATTTGGGACTGTGCTGGTCTGGTCTCCTTACAAAGTTTCACTGTGAAAAAAGAATAGTGAGAAACATATGATTTTCTACATACATACATATGATTTATATATGATTTAAGGAAATTGTTTGTCAGCTCCTTTTGTGGTAAAACCCTTTAGCTTTTGCCTCCCCTTTACTGAAAGCGTCTTCTCAGTCGGTAACAATTTGACTAACATCTACTTTTTAATTAAATGTTGCAGCATTTAGGAAGATGCATGCTAATCTGGGCCCCAGATCTGCAGTCCTCAGCTTTACAAGATGCTGCTCCAGCAGGGGCCGTAAAGCTCTCGATAAGAGGGGTAAGGAGCAAGGTGCAGGTCCCACAGCGATAACCTCCTGACTCCAACATTATGGGTCTTTCTACCGGAATTGAGTTCTACATCTTCCTCGATTGGTTATTGTCACAAATGAGTAATGGATGCACCCTGCCTGCGTCCCCAGGTACATGAGCCAGTCCATCAGGCCATCGGGAAGCACAGCTGCCAGCCACGGGGGCAGGCAGATAACAGGCAGACCGCAGGAGAGATGTTAAAGGCGCCGCGACCACCGGGACTCCAGGCGAGTACCTGCTACTCTTCTGAGTAACTACCTGCCTGCAACTACCCCTTCCACCACTTTGCATGGGCATTAATCAAGCTGTTCCCTGGGACTGTTGTAGGAGACCAGATAAGGCGGAACAAACAAATCAAAACTAGAAAGCGGCTGGAAAACGTGCATCATTCAGGCCACGCTTAGGTTATTTTATTTTGTTCTATTATTCAGAGGGGGAAAATGTTCAGGATACCTCATTCACACTGGCAATTACTGCTAAGAAAACACATATACATGAAGACTTATTAATATAGTATATAATATATACTATATAACATTTAATACAATTTCATTATATATTATATTCTTATCTATGAAAATATATAATGTACATAATGTATCATATATATACATATACACATATATATGTATATAAAATTAAGCCGTGCAACATTGTCTAGCAACCTACTGAGTTGCAAAACGCACTTGTCATTTTTTTTGCTGTCAACAATGATAGTAAAAAAAAGTAAGCAGTATTTTAGTAAACCTATCAGGGAATAGACTCGTGCTGACTGAGAAGTAAATAAGTAAATAAGACTTGTGTTTTAATTTATCAAGCGTGCTTCTTTGAAAGGGGTGTGATTTGCATTGCTATCACTAATGTAAAACCTTGACTGGAGGTTTTCTAGAGCATACATGATAAAGTGAGTTTTTGTCTAACATATCGGGTAAATTTGAAGGTCACTCAGTTTTGAAATGTATCTAACTTAGGCAACTGGTCCACATGTCCTTCCAGTGGTGGACATTTCTAGTATTTCACTGTCTAATATAATAGTAATATTATCTGTAATTCAGGAAATTCCATTTTGTTATCATGTTAATTGTTGGAATAATAATGATTTGTAATGCAAACCTCAAGAAATTTCCTTTCAAAAGTGTATAATTAGAATCCTCATCAAGGCCAGATATTCTAAGGAACATAATTTCTGACTAATCAACTCAGTAGATGTTGGTTGAGTTTCCAAAACTGATCAGAAGTCAGTGTCTCAGAGAAAAGCAAAGGACAGTGATGTACCAAGCTCCTTCAGTATCTATTCATAACCATTATTGTGTCTATAAGTATAACTATATGTGCAATGCTATATTTCTGTAGGATTTGATTCATCCCATTTGGCAATGCCCAAACTTAATAGAAAGTGTTATACAACACTTTGTCACACAGAAGAAAACGTATATATTATATCGCAGAAAACACATCTGGTATTCCTCTTGATTAAAATGGCAAAGGGATTTTTGGACTATAAGGAAGAAACTCCCAAATAGTCAGTTTTGGTACACATCACAAATTTAGCAGGTATGTATTCTGTGGGAGAGAAGAGGTAATGACAGAGCAGATGGAAAAGCAACCAGGAAAAAGTAAAAGTTCTATACCACTAGAATGTTGCTTTCAGAACCACAAAATAGTTTATTTATATCTTTTTTTTCTTTCTATGGTGGCTCAGAAGTACTCTGCACTTAGATATTTCCTTAAAACATTGTTTCAGAATAGCCAAGTGAAGAGAAAGTAATTTTCAAAGCTCTGTAGTTCTTTCAAAACAGATTATTTACAATAGTTTCAGGTGGCACTCTCGTGAACATACAGGTTATGTTCTGTGCTATTTTCCCTTATGAGAGTCTCTGTTCAGTTGGTTTTAACTCTGCTGCTCTTTCACTATTTGGACTATTATTTTCTATGCTGTATTTTTGCCTGAAACAAAATTGGTTTAGAAAAAAATAATCAGCAAAGATTATTCAGCATTTTTTGGACTAGGTTTGATGATATAAAAATAGTATTTTGCTAGAAGTGATATTTGTTCAACATTTTATGTAAAAGGTCAAGCACCTCAGAAAAGAGAGATGCCACAAAAAATAGATATTGCTTTTTCACCATCCCTATTCAAACCTCCCCAATCTCATCCAAATTATAAATCCATGGCTTGCTTTCTTTTCACTTGCTTAGTTGAGATTCATTGGGCCTGACAGAATTGCTGGGAAAGGAGACTGATGTTTGAAGTCAGCACTAAGGGCTTTAGGTCCTCCTCCTCGCTGCAAGGACCTGTAGCAGGCACACAGACAAACTTTGCCTCCACAGAGCTCCCTGAGCCTGTTAAGAAAGATTTTCCATTTTATCACCCAAGGAAATATGGGGAAGCTTGTTCACAATTGTTCTCATCCTTTTCCCTAGTGATGCCAAGATTGTAAGAAAAGAAGGAGCATTTTACCTCAGAACATGTGTGAGGAGGAGGTAGTAGTCCACAGAGCCAGGTGGAGTTTTAGAAGAGAGACTAGATATAGTCTGTAGAAAGGCAGAAACACGAAGAATTAATGTAGAGGAAGGGAAACTGTTGCAACATCCCAAAGGGCAAGTATATAAGCTCCCATTAACTTGTGTTTCCACCTACAAGTGTCAAATGCAAGCCTGAATTCATACACTATGGTGGACTGAGAACCCTACAGGGTAATTACTCAAAGAACTGTTAGTCAAGGGTCTGCTAAAGATGCAGGCTGGATACTGGTCACTGCATGTACTAGGAGGAAGGATCCTCCTCCTTCTCAAAATTTGATACGTAGGACTGGTACCTTCTATAGCAGGTATGAGGCTCTGGAACTAGAAGGCCAGACAACTAATGAGATGGGCAAAGGTCCTTCTGAGGTAGTGGGGTCCCCTAAAACAACACCAGCTGTACTCCACATCACAACCTCCTCTGTTAAGAGGAAAAGAAGGGTAGCTACAATAGGAGACTCCCTTCTAAGGGGAACAGAGGGCACCATATGCAGACTGGACCCAACTCACAGGGAAGTCTGCTGTCTCCCAAGGGCTCGAGTAAGGAACATTACTGGAAAACTCTCCAGTCTAGTAGGGCCCTTTGATTACTATCTGCTACTGGTTGTTCAAAATGGTGATGACAATATAACAAAGAGAAGTCTGAGAGCAATCAAACGAGAGTTCAGGACCCTAGGGTGATTGGTAGAGTGATCAGGAGCACAGGCAGTAATTTCCTCAGTCTTTCCAGTAACAAGAAATAATATTGATAGGAATAGGCAGATCCATCAGGTTGATGAGTGGCTCTGAGGTTGGTGTAATTGGAAAAATTTTGGGTTTTTTGACCATGGGATGATCTACTCAACACCTGGTCTACTGACACCTGATGGGAAGCACCTATCTCAAAGGGGGAAAAGAGTTCTAGTGCAGGAGCCAGTGGGGCTTGTTGACAGAGCTTTAAACTAGCTTGGAAGGGGAAAGGGGTCAAAACCAGGCTTTGTCCATCCCATCGCCAGTGATGAGTGATGGGATGGTGTGCCAAAACACGAGAAAAACAGCACTCAAGGGATCCCTCAATCTGCTTCAGGAGGTATTGGCTACAATGTACCACATCTGAAATGTTTCTCATCAATGCATGCAGCATGAGGAACACAAAGAGGAGCACAAAGCTTTGGCCCAGTCCCAGAAATTTGACATTGTTGCCATAAGTGAAACCTGGTGGGATGAGTCCTTTGACTGGAGTGCCTTGTTGGATGGTTACAGGCTCTTCAGGAGGGATGGGCAGGGCAGAAAAGGCAAAGGGGTGGCACTGTGTGCGATAGAAGGGCTAGAATGTATGGAACTCACAGTTGGAAATGTCACAGTTGAGAGCCTCTGGGTAAGAATCGAGGGGCAAACAAATAATGTGGATGTCATCGTGGGAGTCTGCTATAGACCTCCCAGACAGGACGATGATGCCAATGAATTAATCTTTGAGGAACTACAGGACACTTTCAAGTCAACTGCCCTAGTCCTTATGGGGGACTTCAACTTGTCAGAAATTAAATGGGAGTTTCACATAGCTGGTTCAACCTCAGCCAGAAAATTCCTAAAAAACCTAGATGCCCTTCTTGATCTGCTGCTTATCAACAGAGTGGATCTTGCGAGCAAAGTGGAGGTTGGTGGCCATCTTGGCCACAGCAACCATGAAGTAATCGAGTTTAAAATCTCTGTTGACAGGAGAAAAAGTACCAGAAAAACCTCAGCTCTGGACACGAGGAGAGCAGATTTCAGGCTGCTCAGGGAATTAGTAAGTAAGGTCCTCTGGAAAAATGTTTTTCCACGTGCTGGGGTCCATCAGTGCTGGTCACTTTTTAAACATCACCTCCTAAGGGCACAGGAGCAGGCAATTCCCAAATGTCAGAAGTCAAGCAGGCAAGGCAGAAGGACAGCTTGGCTGAACAGGGATGTTCTCGTGGAAGTAAGGCATAAAAGGAAAGCATATGCCCAGTGGAAACAAGGTCAAGTGACAAGGTAAGAATACAGAGATGCTGCTTGCTGCAATAAGGAGAAAATTCATGTGGCCAAAGCTGAGCTGGAGTTGAAGCTGCCAGAAATGTCAGACACTTTTAAAAAGAGTTTTTTCAAATACATTAATGGCAATAGGCAGTACAGAAATATCATTGGCCCATTACAGAATGAGGATGGTCACCTCACAAATAGGGACAGAGACAAGGCAGAGGTGTTTAACAAAGAAAGCTTTGTCTCTGTCTTCAACACGGATGACAGACCAAGGGGCTCTCAGTGCCCTCAGTGCCCTGAGGTGGAGGACCATGACTGCAAGAATGATCAGCTCCCAGTCGACCCTGAAATTGTGTCGGATTTGCTGCTCCAACTGGATGCCTACAACTCGATAAGCCTGATGATATTCATCCAAGAATCCTCAAAGAGCTGGCTGATGTCATTGCAAAACCTCTCAATGATTTTTTAGCAGTCTTGGAAACCCAGAGAGGTACCAGCTCACTGGAAAAGCATTGTCCCAATTTTCAAGAAGAGCAAGAAGGAGGACCCTGGAAACTACAGGCCTGTCAGTCTCACTTCAATGCCTGGTAAAGTTAGGGAAGAGATTATGCTGGGAGGTGTTGAAAAACACCTGAAAGACAACACAGCCATTGGTCACAGGCAGCATGGATTCCTGAAAGTCCTGTTTATCCAACCTGATTCCTTTTATGACAAGGTAACCCACCTAGTTGATCAAGGGAAGCCAGATGACGTAATATTTTTGGATTTCAGTAAAGTTTTCAATATTGCCTCTCACAGAATCCTTCTGGACAAAATGTCCAGCCCACAGCTGGATAAACACATCATGCAGTGGGTGAGCAAAGAACTGTGTAATCATACTGATATCGATCCAAAATTTTTTGAGTCTTTTCCTTAATTCAGCTATTTTTTAATTTGTGCTTTAAAGAAACAAGCAAAAAATCCCCAAACAAATCCTTCTAAAATCAATCCAGTGAACTGAGTATTGGAAAAGAAACCCCAGAAAACCAGCAGCAGGCCTTACAAAACTTGGAGTGCTTTTCATCTTTTCCAAATAGTGGAAGCTGACCACTTACTGGACCTACGAAGTGGTTTACGGCTAAGGCTGAAGGAAAATGTTACCTTTCGAACTGAAGGAAAAACAAGCATATAGGGAAAACACAGCATCTTCCTTGTTTTGTAAGTATTTTTGCTGATCTCACTGTCTTGCAGAAATTGTTTTTCTAAGCATATGGAATTTTGTTCTGTGTATTGTCTCTGCAAAGTGTGTTTGTTTTAATGTTTGACATATGTGAAATTCAGCTTTAGTGGTTATATTACAATCTTAAAATAATGTTTGCCCCTACCATGAATTCACTTTTTAGAGTTTGCAAATGCCTGGGTACTAACCTCTCTGCTGTGCTTGAAGTGCAGCCACAAAGAAAGTTCTTGTTAGAATTTAAGATGTGAAGATCCATTTCTGCCTAACCATCTCCTACTTCTGCATTCCCTGAAGTGTATCCCATCTGCTTTTGGGAGCTCTCATTGCAATATGCAGTGATTGCAGGATAAGCACACCATTTTCCTGTCAATACTTTCCTATTAGCCTCCTGGATCCATACATCATCGTCTTGCTGGCCTGCAGTTTGCTTATCTTTGTCTCTGAGGCTGCCTTTGATTTATCTAACACCCAGGTTAATGAGGCATGGAGCCCAGGGTGGCTCCAAGGATAATGCACTCCTGTATAAAAATGCTTAAGGAAGGATCAAGTGATAATCCATTCTAGACTAAAAGGCCTAGCTCTTCAACAAATGTTGTATTTCTTAATCACTGAGCTAAGACTGTAATAGCTCCCTGTTAAGCTACTGCCATCCGTAAAACTAAGCCCACTAACTATATGAATTTACAAAAGAACTGAAAATTAGATTTTAATTTGTGTTCCAAAAAATGCAAAAAAAAAAAAGTTCATTTCTTAGGAACAGTTATCACCATTATTTGACAGTGTTCTTATGCAAAAATAAGTTAGCTTTAATATTTAATTTACAGTAATAGTTTTATATTCCCTCACTGGGACTTATGTTTTTCTAAAGACAAAAATAACAGAAGCTAGAATGTTACTGTGGCAAGGATAAATCAAACTAGCTATTTCAATAATGGAGGTAATTACAAAGTGTATATATCTGAGATGTACTGAGTGGTTAGGGGTTGTTTAATTAACATAAAAATTTCAATATCATCAGCAAGTGTGTTGGTATCACAAAAGCATTGTTAAAAATGCATCTTAAAATAGTTATGCCTTTCTCTCTTCCTAGATAGTACATAAGACTAATATACATTTACTTCCCATTTCTGCTAATTACCATCTTGCACAGAAATAATATAATGAAAGCAAGGTGAAGATCCAAGCAAGCTTATTCGTTTATTTTAAAGTGCTCTATCACATTTTGTTGGCTGTTTTGGCTTCTTTTTTTGGATGTTGTTTTGTTTTGTTATGCATGGTTGACCTTCATATTATGAATCTGCTGCAGGCTCCTGAAGTACAAGTAATGTATAACCATTTAGAATAGCACCAAATAATGGGATCACTCCTATGGGATGCCATGCTCATGTTTTGAAGTAAAAGACACGCACAAGCAAGGCATTCACCAACTGGCCCACCACAGTCCCCAAGGACTTGACCCAGGTAATAAGTCCTTTACTGGTCACTAACCTACATTATTGAGATTTAGTTTGGATTTTGATGACATGACACTGTTAAGGGTTGTTATTGAGATGTAAATGATCTTCTGTTGGGTTATTTAAGACACATGAAGGACCTAGTTTAGAATGGAAATTAGTTATTGATTATTCCAGCAATTAACAAAATAAATTTTAGAACCTGTATTAACATTTTCAGAAGTCTTAAATTATATTTAGCTCAAACTGACCCAAGGATCTAGACTGATTCCTTAGCAATCTTTAAGATGTTTTGAAAAAGGAAAACAAAGATAAATAAATATTGCTGTGCTCTTATATCTACTATAGATCACAGTGGTATGTGATGCAGTTGTCTATACAGTTATACAGTGTGCTCCACAGATTCTTTAGTATTAAAGACAAGTTTGGAGCATATATAAAAGTAAAATATCCATCCTGTTTGTTTCATCTTCTTTTTTGAATATTTTATCATTAGATTAACAGAGTTAATTTTCTTTACTTGCATTTCTTTCATTAGTACTTTGAGTTTCCTCACCTAAAACATCCTGAGATAGGAGGTAGCCTTTTCGGATGCCCATTGTTATTTATAAGCACCTTGTATTGATAGCACAATTATTAACAATATACATTTTCCTATCTCACCTAGGAGTGTTTTACTTTATTGCTACATATTTTAACTACAAGATGGGTTTCTTGTATTTTTCTCATGGAGTACTGCTAAGAAAGCTTTAGAGGCTGTTACACCCACCCAAAAGGTCACATAGCATGTGCCACTATGTATTTGATTTGGTGGCAAAAATCAGATAATTCATTGTACGAATATATTTTAGAACAAACTCAGCTTAGTCTTCTCCTTTTCTATGCTGCAAGCTCCAGCCAATGAAGGGTATTAGGCACTAAAGAGAGATGCATCCTGTCTTGTTATAATTTTACTGTTTGGGTCCCAGTGATACTTTTATATATAAAATATTTAGGTAGGGAAATGGCACAAGGAGCACAACTGGACTGCTAGAACTCATTACTTAATGTGCTGTCTATAGATAGTACCACTGAACTCACTGAAAGTAATACTGCGGTCACGTGATGTCTTTTGTGTTGCTGTATCGTCTCAGGATCCTCCACACCTCAGATAATATTACATGGAAAATTAGCTGCCTACCCACTGCAGTTTGAACAAGGTTTTAAGAAAACCCTTCCACACAGTGATATTTCAGTTTAAAAGTCTCTTTTAAAATTAGCAGCTAATAACAGCAGGTCAACATTTTCTAACATTGACTTTCCTTGAATAATTCCCTCTGTCTTATTACATACTTTTTTCCTGCTCTTTCAATTCTGTTGTTCAGATACAGGCAAAGTACCCACTGATTTAAAAGAGTTTTATATCCTCTTCTTATGAATCCCTGTCACCAGTGTAACATCTGAATCATCAGGAATGATACTTAACTACTCTTTCAAGACATGACAGACTGCATTACCTCTGATGTTAGCAGAGGTTTTCATGAATGGGTATTTACAGAGGCTTTCATATCACTCTCTGCACCCATTAACCATATAATACCAGCCTGGTCATTTTTGGTTTGTATGGTTTTTTTGTTTGCTGATAAGTCAAATAAGACATAAGCAGCAACTCCTGGCATATTAATTTTTTTAAGATTTTCTTAACAAAGGGATTAAATGTTAGATCCCATTTTTAGTATTTTGAAACACAGAGAAAATCTAATGAATACAAGCATAAAATTTTTCCCCTTATTGGACTTAATGTTTGTCTTTTACAAAAAAAAGCAAGATGTATCTGCCAAAACACACTAACATATATTCACCATTAAAAAAATCTTTGAAGAATTAGATTCAATATACAGCTGTAACTCCTGTGAATAACCAGGTAATAAAAAGAAAACACATATCTTCTTTTTTTTCTCTGTACATCACCCAGTAACTATTGATTTCTTCAGATGTTCTCTTTCATATTTCATACAGAGCTCTTCTAATGTATCTTTTGAACACCAACAGAGCTGTTTTTTGATTCAGATTCCACCCAATTACTTGTGAGTTTTCCAGTAAACCAACCGGACGAGGAGTAATCACCTGTGAATGCAGAGAGACGGGCATCTTCAGAGGTGAATGATTCTCTGGAAGTGACTATTTTTGTCTCTTAATTCATGGAGTACATACTCTTAGATATTGATGTAAAGGTGAAGCTTCTGGCCCTTTCAGTTGATGTTCCCATCAAGCCCATTGCTGCTGTACTTACAGAGGTCCCAGCTCAAATGCCTGTGCCAAGTGCAACTAGAACAGTATCCTGAAGAAATAAAACTCTCAAACCAAATGCAGTTAACCAAAAAAGAACATAAACGTTGTCCAAACCCCCTTCATAATGCATCCAGAGAGACAGTGGCAATTCAAATTCACTTACCTTTCTTCCCATATGTCACTGTAGCTGGGCCTCATTTCAAAAGTATGTATCACTTTAAGAGCAGGTTATTTTCAGTGGAGGTTTTCTCCTGTTTTAGGACTTACATTTATCTAGACAGATTTTCTAAAGAGGTCAGCACTTTGTTGTTCCATAGGCAGCACAGTATCCCAGCTCTACCAGGCTCCCTTTCTTTCCAGATGTGCTATACTAGCACCAGCAGTGCATATATCCAGTCTTCAAAAGCACACACTAGTGTTTTCTGACCTCTGATTGCAAGAAAAGATTACTCCTCTCAGACATTCTTATAACAGGGATGCGTATTCTACACGCTGTTTACATGCAGAAAAGCACGAAGCTGCAGATAAGAATACGTGAGTTAATGTAGTTTTGTGGCAGTGGAGGCAGGGCACTGTGTATAAATGAGCACATTTTAAGAAATATAAGTATGTGTCCAGCTCCCCATTGAGATACCAACCTGTGGACTGTGAGGGAAACATTATGTCTTCCTTTCTTGAAATAGCATGTGCTAAACAAAACAATTGCACCTGCAAATACCACCTGATAAAACTGTTTTAAGAGACATTGGTGTATCTTGCATTAATAATAAATGTGAAGCAAAGCCTGATATTTTATTTTCTAAAGATAAAACACACCACTGTATACTCAAGAAACATTCATAATAAATGTCAGTTTTAGGGGAAAAAAATAACTAATACTATTTAAAGTATTAAAGGTGTGTTTTGCTTTAGTAACATAGAAAAAAAAAATCAAACCTCTTTCAATCCACAGTTCCTCTTGTGGGCATTCTTAGCTTAAACTCGAGCAATTGTACAGAATTTACTCTGTGCTTTACTATTTACTAATATGATTGATAGGATTAGGACAACTGGCTGTCATGACTGAAGACATTCAGGAAAGGAGAAAGATGATGGAATGGCTCTGAGTGGCTCAGGTGCCTCAGGCCATTTGGATGCCTTCTCCTTGTGATGCCACAGAAGGGCTGAATGCAGAAATCATTGCTTCTTGTGGGCAGTGACTCAGATGGCTACACAGATGGCATTATATACTTGTAATATACACCTTTCCTATCTTATGGATCCTTAAGCAACAAGAGGTGCCATCGTCACTCCTTACATTGCTCTGTTCTGTTGTGGGTTTTGTGTAGCATGATCACAAAATCTCACTACTTTTCTTTTTTAATTATAACCGTGCAGATTTATATAAAATCTTGTTAATGAGTAATTGCACATTTGTATATCTATTCCACATGGTGTGCAAGCAGATGAGATTCTTTATGCAAAGCAGTGAAATGCAATGCGCAATGAAGTATTTAATTAGAATTTGGCCTAAATTAAATACACTGAGAATAACAGACTTAAATTCTTATGAGAAGAGAGACTATCTAATGGTAATCTAATACAACTTCTTCTAGCTCTTATTGCTCCATTTATAAAGTAGTTTGGAAGCAGGGGCACCACTTGGAAAAGGAGAAAGTAATTTAAGAATCCAGATCTTTAGTAGGCCATTTGGAAGAGAAATTGCTTGGTTGTCTAGGCAGCTCAAGTCCTGCTTTTAGGGTAGGTGCTGAACTCCAATTTGCCAACTGTCACACACTGGGATTACCCTTTGATACTCTACTCCAGCAAACTCCAGGTTTAGCAAGTTCCTAGGCAGACACAGTTAAATGCAAAGTGTCAATCCTGCAGAAATAAAGGCTGAAGACTTTGCCTTTCTCTCACTACCAAGTAAAGCCCATGTGATCATGAAAGAGGAAGAGGGGAGCAGCTGTTCACCCTAGCTGTACTTGGGTCTATATTTGGCTTGTTTGACAACACAACAAGCAGTACTGTGGTGAGGAAAGGACTAAAGAGATACTTTTGTTAATATGAATAAACACATTTGCCAGCAATGCTGACATCTAGAGCTGAGTTCTCCAAAGGGAAGTGTTAGCCTAATGATGGGATTTGGACGTGCACACAGATTTTCTAGTTGCGTGACAATTTCTGAAGTGAGAATATGTTTTCTTTGTGAGTTCTTCCTTGGAAAATGCAATAACTTTCTGATATGTGGTTCTTCTTTTCTCAGCTTTTCTGTTTTCCACATGTCTGGTTTAGACCTTCTTTTGCCATAGTTATCTGCACCTGAAGGACAGAAGAGTGGGAGACACTGTGTTAGAGCCTTAATTCTCCACCCACACATATTAGATACATAAATCTAAATTACTGAAAAATACACTTTAGCCAAGAAGATAAAATTACATAAGAGATGAAATCCTGAAACCTTAATTCAGTACTTTCTAAACCCACACTGATGTGGCTTGCTGCTACTCTGGTTCTTTCTCTTCACATAGTAGGCAGCTTCTAAGTGTTTCTTGCCCCCAGCTCTGTAATAATATGGATTTGTATTAACGCAGTCGCTGTGAGCCAGTGGACTAAGCCTCTGATGTGTAATCAGAGTTTGTGGGTTCAAATCCTGACTGTGCCCACGTAGTGGTGTTGGGGAACTGTGTTAGCTGTGTGGCCAGGGGTCTGAGCAGTCAGGTGAAAATACTGTTGTAGAAAATATTGGGTTCAGCTGACCTAAGTGAATATTATAACATGAAAGCAAAGCATTCCTCTGATTCTGATAAAGCTGATCTCTTCTTTACCAGTGTCAGAAGAAAAAAAAAAATCAGTTTTTCCCCAGTTTGAAAGTGCCTTGCTTCTTGAAACAACTTGTAGACAGAGAATTTAAAAAACACATATTTGAAATGCAGTGCTGCTAAACCTTTTTTTTTATTATTTACTTTTTTCCCTTTTTAAATTGCAGAGCATCAGTAAATAGGTGTGCTCTTCCTTTTTCCCTTTTGGTCCTTTTCTCTACTTTCTTTATAAAACTGTAGAACAGGTATGATTTTAAAGGTGATATTCTTCTGTCTTTAGTTATTAAAACCAACAAAAATTGGACATATCTAATTTATCTTTCTTTTTTTTTTTAAACTCTTCTAACTGATTTATGTATTGTTTCTTTCAGCTAAAAGTAGATCTACATAGGAAAATTTTCACTCAGATGGAGCTGATTTTTTTTTTCTAGGAGCTATTTGGACTCAAAATGTTGAGATCCACAGTAGGCAAAATTTGACTTAACAAAATCTGTATCTAGATTAATTGGGCCTCATCCTGGCAAATTTTATAGTTAGAACAGGTTGGGAGCTGGAGCCATTATGTAGAAATACAAGCTAACATAATGCAATGGATGTTATCTGTAGCACTGTTTTTTTTAATACTCCCACCAGTTTAGATATCCATCTGATTAGTCTGAAGATGTCACATTATCTAGTAATGCCAAATATACATCAAAATGGGGAAAGGTATGAGCGTGATTGAACTGTGATAGCATATGGTTTGTACAGTCACTGGGCTCTTAAGAACTTAACTTCCAGCTGGGATCTGTGTAACATAAGAAACAAGGATATCACATTTCCCCCCTCCCTGCTTCTGGCAGGTGTGTGCTAGAAACTGACTGCTAAATACTTTGTAATTAGTATGCCTTGGAGCAGTCACTGTCATCTTACATCTGTAACTGGAGTGAGGGCACTGTTAGCATGACTGTGTTCATTTCTTTAGTGTCCCAAGCCTATAGACCTATACAAGGCAGCCTGAAGGATCAGTGTTTGATGCATGAACCATAGGCAGACCTCAGAAATGTATCTAATTATACCAGTATCTGACTGCACTATTGTAGCAAGATGTATTATTCATAGACAAAGATGAACTGCTATTCAAGGATAGAAATATCTTGTATATTCTGACAGTTCTAAAGTTCAATGCCTAATTGAAAATTAAATAGTTCGAGACAATCAATAGGTGTATTTTAGATTTTTAAAACTGTTCCTGCACAACATGAACTATTGTCATACTTCCCACTGTACAATAAAATGTTGGTATCATCTTTCAAAGCGGGTGAGAGAGAGAGACAGAGAGAGAAAGGGAAATTTACTGCTAGGATATAAAGTTAAACAATTTTCTGGAAATGTGTAAGAGTACCTGTAACCTTTGCAATCTTTCCTGGATCCCAGGCTTTTTTAGAATCATGATGTGGGTGTTATTCATAATGTTTTGATTTATTAAAAAACATAATTCTCCCTTGCAGTGGGAGTAGAACTGAAAGCCACAATAATTGTTTCTGACAAATGGGTAGGCTTCATTTTCTCTTGGTTTAATCCACAGTACTTATTTTAAAACCATCTGTACCAATCAGAAGTTATATGCCACAAATATGTGGCAAATATGTATAACCATTTAGGCAGCAGCCATTCCTGATGCAAAATCCAGAGGAATGGTCCCCACCCACAACTGCAGGAGCTCTGATCATGAGGGGACTTAGATGCCATTTGGAGATCATGCTGTCTCTGTAAAACAGAGAGGATTTAGTTTCTGTTTCAGAGTCAGACACATAAAAAGAGAATCTCAGAACCAAATGGGTGCAATGGAGTGCTTCAAATATACCTTGAAATTGTACTCTGATATCAATCAGCAGCACTCAAAGGCTGATACTGTGTCACTTGAAAAATACACAGCAGATAGGTCACCAATTTTTTAACTCTTCTTCATAAATGTTCTACATCCAGACGAAGATGCATCTCGTATTATCTCTTAATCATTGCCAAACATGGAATTTCACCCTGGGATCCTTCCATCACACCTTATAGCTGA